TAAAGGTACCAAATGTTTGTGATTCCAGATTAACATCATGTTTGTATATTATAAATTTATTAGTATTTAGTTCATGTGTTTTTAAAGATGTAGACAATGCTAGTATTCTATCAAATTATAAATCAAGCTATTGCTTAGGGGAATTAATTATTTTCCATGAATCTGTAGCATATGAATCTCATTCATTTACCCTACTTTGCTCACAATTGTCTGTGAAAAACGTTGGTCACCAGTGGAAAACTTATGTTTGCGACATGTCCAAGTATACCTTCAAAGGCATTAAACTTGCTTAATTTAACCATTTCAATGTATCTTACTGAAAAAATCCTAGTCTTAGCCATAACCACAGCACAGAGAAATATTTGCGCTTTTTTTTTTTTGTAAAGTAAGAAAAAATGGAGAAATTTGGTAAGTGACTTGCCAAGGCTGAAGTTTCATCGTTTGAAACACCAGCCAGGAGCAAGCATTGCGAATAACCACTGTGGCTGATGGGTCCCAGGGCTGGGGACAGTAGGGAAGCAGGGCCTTTTCATGTTTTAACAGGTCCGCAGTCGCTGAGCTACCTACAACACCTTTCCCCAATTGATTTGATCCCTCTTCAACAGTTCAGTTTCCTTCCTTGCCCAAAGCAATCCATGCAAAAGCTTCAATTCCGGCTATTCTTGATTCCTCCTCAGAGTGTTCAGGGATGCCGGCTTTCCAGATAACTCCACGGAGTCCTGCACTTTCTAACAAAAGGAGTGCTTCCAAAAGGAGTTAGTTACCAGGTGTGGCATGAAGTTAGTGAACCAGAAAGAAGGGATTTATCAGCCACTTAAAAAGGAAGGGGGGGCAGAGAAAGAAAGGAATAAAGGAAAGAAACAAACAGACAAGAATGACACCTAAAGCTACTTCTGTCCATCTGAACTACACTTTGGAATAAAAAGTCTTGAAAATAAAAATCATGATGGTCAGAGTTCAGTTGTAGAAAAGTATGCAAAGCTGCAGAGTTTAGACTTTCTGGAGGCCGGAGAGGTCTCTGGGAAACAGCGCTTTAGCAAGGCAGTAAGATGAGATCTCAGTGATATTTGCAACCTTGGGTTTATTACTTTTAATGTATTCTTTTTTCATCTCTGAGTTGACTAAGAAAGCCCTTATGATTTTTGGAACATCATTGAATTTATTTCTATAATTAAGTTATTTTTAAACTAACAGTCTTAGTATATAACTTTTAAGGATCACACATAGTCATGCATTTTCTACTTAAGTAAAATTTAGAGAAAACGTAGATAGTCTTAGTAGATACTCTCCCAAGCTTTTGTATGAGCCTGGATACTAACTCTGTGTTCAATACAAATCAATGGAACTAGTGCTCTTTAGGGTACTCATTCCCTAAGGAGTCACTAATGAAATTATCTGTAGCCTTTTAAAAAAAGGCACAAAGAGGCTAATGAAAAATTTTTTTCTAAGTGAAATCTAGATAAAGGTACACACTAAGCTTACTGGCACATTTTACGGACAAGTTGTAAAAAACTCAGAATGTTTTTTAAGAACTGTTTAATATTGAAGAAGACTTTGTAACTTAGGGTTAAATTATTTATACCAATAGAGAAGTATATTATATGTCTGTAACTTCAAAATCATTCTGGTATGACATTAAAACTTAGAGAATTTTTTAATATCAGATACAGAGGAAAAACCTAACAGTCTTTCGATTGGAAATAACTTGTGGGGGTTTTCATTAAAGTTGGGTGCAGCTTGCTGCATTTTGGTTAGTTGGATGTCTTCAGCAATTTTTCAAATGTTTTGGGTTTGGCAAAGTCCAAAATGTTTTTTGCCAAGACCCTCTTTTCCCCTTATTTTTTAAACCCGTGTGAAATTCAAGGATAACTTAATCCATATGTGTCTGATTCATTTACACTTAACTCATCAAAATGTTATTTTATAAGACCCATTTAATATCCACAGAACCTTTTGACTCTTTTTAAGACAAGTCTTTTATCATTGAACCAGCAAGTTACGTTTTTCCATATGAATGGAGCCTGAACCTTGAAAGACTAAAGATGAGTTGATTTTCAAATTAGATTCTTCAAATTTTAAGTAGAATCAACCTTTGATATTCCATTTACTACTTGAGCACTGAAAAAGGTCATTTAAAAAAATATAGATTAGAAAATGTGGAAAAAAATTATTTCATGCAGTTTTGAGAAAAGACCGTATATGGAAATTTTACCTTAGAAATACTAAAGAAAGAAAAATTATTCTTCATTGGATTTGCTCTAGTCTATAATTTAAATACCTCCATGTTATGTATGTCAGTGTATTTTCTAAAAGTGGCCTCTGGGTCATCAGTACTGGTGGGAGGGGTAATTTCATTTTTTAATGTCAGGGTTTTCATACAGTCAACTGATTGATTGTTAATTTTCATAGTAACATCTATGATGTTAATAAAATATCTCAAGATCAGGGGAATTGACAATTGGCAGGAGTTGTATGTTAAGAGATTTCTGAAAATTTGGGGCCCATATGTTTTTAAAACTCTGTGTGATTTGAAAGAATGTGGTAGAATTATGAATCTGGCAAGAAACAGCACTATGGATCAAAAACATTGTTTGAGAACAAAAATCCAGAGAGGCTAAATGGTGCCCAAGTGAAAAAAGCAAAATCTCTATGACCCTTTGTAAAAGGATCTAGTGAAAACCTTCAGAGGCTTCTATTCATATTTGCTTAGGAGAAGTGGGCAAAGAAAGGCCATTGCCATAACTGCTAGTGAACATCCAGTCCATGCCATGGTAACTAGTTGAAAATGTTATACTGGAGTGGCATTTCCAAGTTCAGCGCTTCTATAAAGACCTGCTAGCACACAGAATGCTTTTTTAATGTTCTGCATTGTTGTGTATCCCCCATTGAACAACCTTTTGAGCGGACCCCGTTTTTACTAATGTAAACATTCTGACGAGTATCCAAAGAAATGACCTTTGAGTGAACCTCTAACCTTCCCCGTAATTATTTGTTTGAAGACAGTGTGGAGTTCTCCTGCTGAGAACTAAGAACCATGATGCCTTGCAGCTCTGTGAGTAAGGGAGTGTTTGGGGGAACTGGAGAGAAAGACATAAATAAGGGAACAACCTCCAGATGTAAAGAATAAAAGAGTAAACGGGTGAAATTAAAGAGGGAAAAAATAGCAATTCGTTTTACCTAAAGAGTTGGCCTATGGGGGGGAGGGGAAAGAAACAAAGAAAACAACACACACACAAAACACAAAAACCAAGATAAGTAGCACATAAAGGGAGGTAAAACCCCTGCCAGGTGTGTCCTCCATTAGAAACTTCAAGAAGAGACTTCTCTGACTCTCCTGAGCATCTCTGCTGGTTTTAAGGTGAGCTGATAAAGAGTTCCTGGGGTGGAAATACCAGGTCAGTCCTCTTTGGTTGCAATAAAAGTGGTGGGGAAAGAGTAGGTAATTCAGTTCTTTTTCTGATTGGAGGGATGCTTCTGGAAGTCTGTGTGATCTGGTCAGATATTCCTCAGCAACACTTCAGGTGGCAGGTGGGAAGAAAGATGCAGTTTCAACTCTCCTTTTGTTTTCACCTCTACGTTGCTGGTCACTTTCTTTTTTGACAACTGAGCTATACTTCTTAAGTAAAAAAGAAGTCCATCGTTTTGCAAGCAAACACCATTTGCAAAAGACTCCTTTGGTTTTCTCCCGGCTGGCTATTATTCCTCACCCTAATTGTATTCCCACAAGAGTGTTCACAGGAGGGCTGACTGTCCTCCTCCAAAGGGACTTCAGCTACCTCTGGACACAGAGCTGCTGGCCTGCGCTAGAATTTTTCTGGCTAATTTCAAAGAATGAGTTTTCAGTTCCTGCCTGTGGCCCCAGGTGGACTCATTAATCATGAAGTCCCCCTGTGCTTAAGATATGAAACTGGAAATATTGACAGATGTTATCAATGGATATATTTTTAAGGGAAAGCTAGCTGGATGCTCCCTGCTCCTCCAAAGTGCGTGGCCAGTGAATCTTGTGCATGAGCTCGAATATGTGGGGAATACATGTCATTAAGTGCACAGGGACAAAGGTAACTCACAAATGGTAGAAAATTGTTTTGTTTTTATTAAATTTGGAGAAATAAAGGAGATTTCTTATCATCTTACTCTGTTTGTACATGAATATTTGATGGGCATTATTAAACATTAAAGTAACATGAAGTAGGCACTTATTTTTGGATTTCCAACAAAATTAGATCCAGGCTTCTTAGATGAAATAACTGCTTCTCCTTTGCATTCCTTCGATTCAGCCACCACCTGATTTGCAAACGTTTCTTGGGCTCTAATATCAACCATGTGTACCTGAGGCTCTGTCTTTCTAGTGGGTTGAAAGGTGGCTGGGTTTATGGTTGGCAGTTACCTTATCCTCTGCCCTGGGTGTCCCAGCTTAGGCTAGAAAGGCCGCCCCCAGCTGGCACTGACCTCTGAATGACCCCTAACTTTACAGGCTTAAACTGCAGGAGTTGCCGAAGAGCAGAAGTCTTTCTGGCCAGCACTTATTACTGCTGTGTTGGTGATAAAACTTCAGACAGCCTAATTGATGGCTTTGCTGACCTAACAATACCTTGTGAAAGCCGAGTGCTAGAGCCTGGTCTCCATTTATGACCAGCTGCAAGGGGAAGCTGGGTCTCCCTATCACAGGGAGTCTAGGGAAAGGGGGAAAGTCCTCCAGCCTGTGAACTTTAACCAGATTCCTACTTGTTCAAGAAGCAGAAGCACAATTTCAAATTAATAGAAGCTTTCTCATGGCGAACTTTTTTTCTCTCCCTGAACTCTTTTAGCAAGTTGGCTTGGAGTTGACTACAGAGTGACGATGGAGATTACCCAGTCAACTGTTTTTGAACACCAAAAGGGAAAATCACCTTTAAGTTGAAAAGATAATTTTCAGAAGAGATTTGACTGTATTCTGTGCTTCTCAGTTCACAGAGCACAGAAACAGAGTCTGATAACTGGACTTCTCTGTTCTGTTTCAG